GTGTGTGTGTGTGTGTGTGTGTGTGTGTGTGTGTGTGTGTGTGTGTGTGTGTGTGTGTGTGTGTGTGTGTGTGTGGTGTGCGTGTGTGTGTGTGTGTGTGTGTGTGTGTGTGTGTGTGTGTGTGTGTGTGTGTGTGTGTGTGTGTGTGTGTGTGTGTGTGTGTTTGGTGTGTGTGTGTTGTGTGTGTGTGTTGGTGTGTGTGTGTGTGTGTGTGTGTGTGTGTGTGTGTGTGTGTGTGTGTGTGTGTGTGTGTGTGTGTGTGTGTGTGTGTGTGTGTGTGTGTGTGTGTGTTTGTGTGTGTGTGTGTGCGTGTGTGTGTGTGTGTGTTGTGTGCGTGCTTGTGCTTGTGCTTGTGCTGCTGTCTCTGCGCTGCTTCTGTTTCCGCTTGTTTGCCTTGTCATTATCTTTACTGCTTGGCTTCTTTGCCTTTCTGTTTCCGATTATCTTTACCTTGGCCTTTGCCTTTGTCATTTATCTTCGCCTTTGTCTTTGCATTGTGCTTGTGTTTGTGTGCTTGTGATTGTGGTTGTGTGTGTGTTTGTTTGTGCTTGAGATTGCTTTGAGGGTACCCTTTCAGGTTGGTTCAAAAAGTAACAAAAAGGAAAAGTGAAACCAAGCTTCTTTGGGGATCCCCCTATTTTGACACATACCAGGGAGGCACCAGCCGAATTCTCCTCCACATGGAAGTGGTGCATGCGCTCTTGCGTGATCACCTTGGGTACGTGGACCACCGACTCCTGGCGTGGGTGGAACCTGGTGAGGATTTGTTCCAGGATCTTTGCTCCTATCTGGATCACCTGCTCCTGGCATAGGCCATAAGTTATAAGTTATAACCTACAAAGCTTGGCTTTCCAAAGAAGGGGGACCTGGGGTCAATTTGACTGGGTGGACTTCCAATCGCGTGCAAGCCAGCCACGAAGAGAGCTGCATGCTTTACATCACTGCTACTAAACAACCTCCTGTTGATTTCCGATAGGGGTCCCCTGAAAAACACCCAAATGGCGTAGTCTTGCGGAATCCGAAGTCTGCTCAATTTTCGGCTTCGTTCGCCCGTCTGCAAGTTGCAAACCATGCGTTACCCCCAAACGTGTAAGTAGAGGGGCTCCGGTTATTATCCCAAACCCTGCTGAAAAACAGAACCCAGTCCGCACAAAAGCAAAGCTGGATGGACCAACTGATTGTCTTTTTGGAGGAAATAGCGAATCCATTTACTGCATCAAATCGTTGGCCGTGGATATCTACCACTCAACTCCTATGCCAAGGGAAAACCATGCCGTACCCCACCCCGAATTCTTCACGTTGTCGTTCCAGATTCTTTGGCCCGACCCCTTGGCTCATGTTACCATTCGACATTGGGTTTCCGGCAGGGTCCACCCCTTCCCCGGTTCCCCCACCCCCCGACAGCGTCTACCGAGACGGGCCCCTCCTGCACCATAGGCACCGGCACCTCGCGGACCTGCTCCACATGCTGGTGGATGACTCGCTCCTCGGAGAGCGGAGCGCGGAGAGTTGAGGAGTTCAATAGGAGGAACCTTTGCCATTTCTCTAAACCCCGAGGTGAATTGGGAGCTCCCGTGTTGGCTTCCAAAAAATACATTTGCATTGTTTGCTGCGGTACAAAATATTGAGTTGTAAAACCTGTCGCATGGGCGAGTGAGATCAACCTCATGTGCCGGCTCGAGTGTTTGCATTGTGCAATCGCAAAGGACATGATGTGGTTAAACATATTTTATATTCTCAAAAATAGGAAGCCCCTGTGCCAGTTTCCGTGCGGTCTCCCTTTCACACCATCCAACAAGCAACAAAAGGGGGGGCGTCTGCTTTCTCAACTTTGAGGACACTACATGAACCTCCCATACTCCCCGTCTTTCCCCGAAGGCAACCAAACTGGGTTGCCTCAAAATGCGTCTCAAGCTGGACACGCGTTTGTTTGTCCTTGAAGCAACCTCAGGCTTCCTGGCAAATGTTTGAAGTGGCCCCAGCAACTCCAAGTCAACCTCCTGGAAACCCTTCCTGAGATCTCCAGTAACTTCAGTTTGAGCCTAGGGATCTGTAATGCTCAGGTTTCCCCCCTTTGGCGTCAGAAACGCACAGTGAACTAGCAACCAAAAGGCGATGCTTGAAACTACAAGGGGAAACATTGGGCACCCAGTGATAGGACGCTTTCTCGCAACTGCGGGGGGATTCTTCGACCCCAACTCACACGGCACGTTGAATGCAACGCAACGCACCTGGGTTTGCACCTTCGGGATGTGCACCACCTCCTCCTTGCAAGCAGGTGGGGGTCGCAGGTCGGTCCTTTTGACCCCTTTAGCGCGTAAAAGACCAGTCGAGAATGTGTCAACAAGCCCATTTCAATGAGGAATCCAACAGAAGACATGGAATGAGTCAAACCTATATAATCGGACCCTGTTTGGTTGATGGTTCCAAACGGGGTGGTCTTTTTGACACCTGTGGAAAAAGCTTAGCATGCCAAAAGGACACCAGAGGGGTCCTCAAATAGTCCTCAGGGCAAAAAGCTATTTGATCATCATTAAAGGCAGTGGAGCTTTAAAGCTTATGTTGCTGTTACCTGTAACTACAGGGTTTAACTAATTAACCATAAACTGTCCTCAAATTCCGGGGTGAGACTTTAAGCATCTGGGAAAGTGCTCAAAAGTGCATCACTTTCGCATGATTTCATTGATTACAAGCACCAAGCCTTGAACGCTCATGTGTGTCAGATCTCCAAATAAACATCCACTAAGTCCTTTGTTTTTCTCGAGGTTGCTTGGTTCTGTGGCTTTCCCGGCAGAAGAATAATCTTCTCAAGGGAGCCTGCTTCAGGGAAGGCTTGTGTGAGTAGAAGACAGACGTGATCCCCGCACTTTCAATTCCCACAAAACGCACGGCTGGGAACATTGATTTCTGAAAAACAAAAGCAAGCCACCCCAGTTGTCTGGTCCCAGTTGAGCAACCAACGGAGGAAAAAAACAAAAAATGAACCAAACTGAAAATACTATTTGAGAACCCCCCCCTTCCCCCTGCCCACTTCGGAGATCCGGTTACCTCTGGTTGGACTTCCTCGCGGGTTGCGAGCCGTTGTGAACCCGAAGCTCCTGGACCTGCGGCACGGGGATCTCCACGGTCTGCTCCACGTGCTGGTGCTGCACCCGCTGATGGGTCACCACCTTGGGCACGTGCACCATGACCTCCTGGCGAGAGGAGACCGAAACGGAGGGGAGGAGGGGGAGGAGGACCATTTTGAATCCTTCACTTGGGAACTCTGCTCCAATCCAGCAGGTCGATTCCCGGGTCGAAAAAGGGGTGCAGCTGGGATGGAGAGGAAAAGCACGGCCATTCTAAGGACCTGAAAACCAGCCAACCTGCAGGTTCCAAACCCAAAGATCCAACTTGGGTGTTCAACCCAGCTTCGTAAGTAGAATATGACCCTGGATACCGGCTTGTCCATCGTCATAACCTACTTACTGAATTGGTTGAACATCTACGGGCTGATGTGCGTGAAGTGGAAGATTCGAAGCAAGACGTTGAAGTGGTAGAGCCCTCCGTAGATCACCCCAAATCGATGAAGGTTTCTGATGTGTGCTCTTAAAGGTAATGTCCCTGTATTAATAACGTAGAACCTGTCTGGGGTCCTTGGAAGACTGTTTTCCTCTTGCAGGAACCTTTCGGGTGAGTTCCACGTCAGCCTGAAGGAGGGTACGTCCCCAGGAGCTTGTCCAGTTGAGCAGGGCATTTCACTGCGCGATCCCCCCCGTGCAACCAGGCCAAAACCAGCCTAAGTGAGCCACTGGTATGTGTGGTTGAAATTGAGTAAGTCCCCCCAAATGGACCGTAGACAAGCCTGGCAAATTTGACCGACCCTCACAGAAAAACCAACAGAAACCGGAAGAAAATGATCTCAAGATTGCGAACAAATCTGTCCGTTTCCTACTTTTTATGGTGTGCAGCTGGATACAGGTTGCGTGCATCCACACCGTCAGGGGCTAGAAGTGGCTTGTCAAGTGACCTCATTTGGGCTATCTTGGGTGCAAAAGGGTGTTCTGGATGAACCCAAATATTTCAGGCCAACTTGCATGCGATTTCAATTTGAGGCACGGTCAGCACTCATTGTTGGTGGGTTTAGGCAATGCCAAACAGACTTGAGCCAAAATGGCAGGGGGCATTTTGGCTCATATCAGTGATTTATAAAATGGCACCGCTACGCTCTTCCAATAGAAACAAGGTCTTCCGCACTTTAGTACCGAACAAATGACCAGAATTCCCAAATCGGCAATACTAGCAAAGGACCCTTCATCATGGGTGTTCTTATTATAGACGCGGGAGCCTTGTTTCAGCCCTAGGCGGGCTCTTGCTTCTTTGTGGTGCCAATGCTTTCAGGACCCGTTTTGTCCGCGCAATTGGGCGAGGCTTATAGGGCAACCCCACGTCTCCTTTTGGCTTCCTTTAAGACGGGCACCTGGCCGGCGAGCGCGGGGGTCACGCGCGGGTGACGCCGCGAGCCTCGGTCATCGGCACCGGCACTTCCACGGTCTGCTCCACGGTCTGATGGATGCGGCCTCGGCAATTGCGGTCCGAATTTCCAACGAGGGGGCGAAAAGGAAAAAAGGTCCCGGGGTGTCCGTTGATTCCCTTTGGTTTCCGAGAGCGTTCCCTGTTTTTCCATGGTTCCCTATGGTTCTCCATGTGTCCCTACGTGTTTGAAGCCTAAGCCGCCAAACCACTGCCATCCGGCATGATGAAGCATTGTTTTGGAACAATCCCAGTTTTTGTTGTGCTTCCTTTTGGTGGGATGTCAAAAAAGGCAAACAAAGGGTACGCCGGGTCATAGCAAGTCAGATCGGAGCCGTTCGGACCACAACGCTCAGATCCGCCCTTTAACCACATTACGGGGTTCGGCAATTTTAGGACCTACCCAAGGGCCCAAGGGAGACATGGTTGGTTTCACGAACCAAGGGAATGACTACTCCCAAATTTGCATACGTTGCGACTAAAGAATGTTCCCCAGTCATGAAAATGTCCGTTGAAAACTAACAGAAAGCAAACATAACCTCAAGCAAGTGGAGGATGCCCGTAGTGTCCAGCGGGCGCAATGAGAGGGCCCAACGCCCTAAAAGAAGGTACTTGCAAAACAAATCATAAGTCTCCATTGTACACTCCGCCCCCCCTTTCACTGGAAACCCAAATAAGGTGAGGCGTTTAAATAGCTTCTAACAAAGGGTTGGCGCAAAATTGCATGACAGCCCCCCTACCCTCCCCCACAGGGTTTCTCAAAATGGGGAATCGACAAACCTGGCGGTGTCCCTTGAAACCCAACAGGGGTACCCTCAAAAAAGTCACACCCCGATCCTCCCGATTCCTTCAAAGCTGCCGGCCCCTGGCTGCGTGGTTTGTGGCATCGCGGCGCCAGCGCGCATCATGTTCTGATCGGCAGCGTGACGCGACCGTGCCGACGCGACGGGGCCATGCGACGCTTGGGCGATGCGTGCCATCACTTGGGTTTCGGTTTGCGACAAGACTCCTGGAAGAAGGCAATCTGACTAAAAGGGGAGCTGATGACTAACTGGTTGTGGGTTTGGAGGGTACCCTTTTCCGGGCTTGATTGAAGGGAACACCAAAGGAAAACCGAAGCCCATTCTGGGTGTTCCACAACGTAGACTCAAATCCAGGGGTCGGGGTGGCAGATTCACGCAGCTACTTGGTGTTCACGTAAGCACAAGAGGAGTTGGTTGTCACAGAGCCAGGATTATAAATCAAAACGTACAACCTGAAGTGGGCTAAACATCGAAGTAGAGATACTTAGTCTGGTTGTTCCCCCCAAGGCATGCGCAAATTCCACAGTCGTCCCGGTTGTTCTGGAAGTTGGGTGCTTGAAGCTGGCTAGTGCTTGGCAACCGTTGTACTCGAAAATTCCCCGATTTGGAGACAAACCCATATGTGACTCCGGTCCATATCCAGGCTACCTTAAAATGTAAAATAAGTTCAAATGACATCCCAGATTCCGTCAAGGATGTTCAAGGTAGAAATTCAGGAACAACCCCCCCAAGACTAAGCGATCCTTTCTAGCCCTCATACTCATTTCTCTGGCGGTTCAGGACCTCGGTTCCTTCGCCGAGTGCGTTACTCTCCTTTGGCTTTTCGGGGTTGACCAAAAAGGAAACTAACTTGGGGCCAGTCCGCATTTTGAGACAAAGCCAAACCCTTCCCTCGTTGCCTGGCCGGCCGGCTGCCCAGTGATCGAGGACATGGGGGGAGCTCCATAGGTTCCGCCGCATGGTCCTCCCGCACCCGGGCCCTGCGCCATCACCTGCAAGGAGCTGCCAGCCACAGCGTCCGTAGAAATCCTTTCAAAGCAGCTGGTAAATAAAGGGGGGTTCATTTTAGCCAAAATGTATCCTGTGAAACTCTTTGCCAAGCCTCTCGGCGCCACCTGCACGTTTGGGGAGTTTCGACCTTGAATTGAGCCTCCGGTTTTCTCTTGATAGGCTGTGCAAACATCCAAAAAGGGTGCCTCCAAGTCTAATAGAATCCCCCGCCCAGGTTTCACCCGAACCTCTTGCAGGTCGGCAATTTGGCCATCCCTCGTGATTGTGTTCGGTTTTTGACTGAAACAACGGGGGAAAAGTGTCCCGTTTGGATCCGTCGACCTCCAAGTACATCTGCCCTTCTGATGCAGCCACGGACCTTGGGCACATGGATCACCTCCTCTTGCTGAATGTGCACTGGCACCTCACAGGTCGGGCCAAAAGGAAAGCCAGTGTTCCGGTTCTAAGCCAAAAGAGGAAAGCCGGTCCTCGGACCTTCGGTGGACTTTGAACAAGAAACTTCTTTATATTGATTCTGTGCGACTGTGTACAGGGATAGTGGCCATCCGGTGGCGTTGGCAAACCAGCCCAGACCTCCAGTGGGTGGCCATGCCCTTTTGCTGCTACTTGACTTTGTAGTACAGCCCCTGGAAGAAAAAAGGATGCAGCCCACCGGTCTTCTTGTTGCAGTCACGTCGAAATCATCCTCCGACAGTCTGTTCAAACGAGGGGTCCCTCCCAAAGCGGCTTTCAGAACCCCAAACATTCACTTCACTGGACCCTGGTTTGGCAGTCTCGGGTCAAAGCCCGCCACAAACGGGGACTGTAGATGCGAATCAAGGTATGGGAAGGTGCCCGAAAGGCGGCGCTATGTTAAGCGGCCGGGGCGGGCAGTGTTTGAGGAAACCAAGAGGAAACCAACCAGCTGCGGGGATCGACAATTCGACCCAGCCTGAAAAGTGTCTTTGTGTTCAACGAATCAAGCGGGCCATATGGGCATCTCTTCTGTCAACCTCCTGGTGTCATTTAGCCGACTTCCTGTCCCTGCAAAAGTCTCGAAGCACGTGAGCAACAATGTGTTTCTCTCAAGTAGAACGTGACACATTTGGGCCCACTGCATTCTGATGTGAAACTCGGAGCGGGCCCCTGATGTCCTCCCCACACTAACAAGCCAAGAAGACTATCAGCTGCTCGCACGGATTTGCAAAGCGCGCAAACATGGCAGAGCCAAGTATGCCAACACTCGGTTTCGGATGAACCGTGAAGGAACCAGGGATTCAAAACTCGCGGCCAACTGGGGGAACCCCATAGTGGGCGGTATCCCGTTGGTGTCTTTGAGATTGAAAAAACAACGAAAAACATTCGTAGTTGCCTTGCTTTGCAGTCAACCACCTGTGGAACCCTAGGAGGGTTCCTTTCAGTTCAGTGGTTGGAACATCGTGAAAAACAACTCCCTATGTAAATGAATGATGATGATGATGATGATGATGATGATGATGATGATGATGATGATGATGATGATGATGATGATGATGATGATGATGATGATGATGATGATGATGATGATGATGATGATGATGATGATGATGATGATGATGATGATGATGTCCACCAATTCACCAGAGATGTCGCTTCCTCATCAAATTCTTACCCCATATGAAAACCAACACGTGAGAGCATTGGGAGGCTTCCCTCTTGCGACTAATGAGCCCAATGAAAGTTCATTGTGGATGTCACATTCCAAGCGAAAAGTCGTGGTCCCCCGATGAGTAAGCTGCTTTGGGCTGGATGGCTCGCTTCCCTTTTTAGTGCAGCAACCAAACAGAAAGAAGAGGGAGTCACTGAAGCATCTTCCCCCTGAGTGGATTCAAAAGTCCGATTATGTTGCTTACTAAAATGGTCTTCCCAACAAGTAAGTCCAGAAAGTGAGTTTACACGAGCCCAATGTCGCACGACTGGGTGCCGAAGAAAGCCAAGGGTGCACCCCCAGCCTCCACGACCTCCTCCACGTGTTGGTGCTGAATCCTGGTGGCCGTCATAATCTTGGGAACGTGCACCACCTGCCACGCGCAAATCTGCAGCCGCTTAGCCGCAAAGGTGCGATGCGATTCGGGGCCTGGGCCAAGGTCCAGCTTAACCACATGTGAACCAAACTTCCTGAAAGCTCCCCTAAGCACCCAGGGTCGGGTTGGATAAACCAATTTCCTCAACCTGGGTCAACGGGTGCCCGGACTGGAATTGGCAGGTGCCCAACGAAAGGTAAGCACTGGATGCTTGCTTGCGATCCTCTACCTTGAGCCGCAAAGAAAACCTGGGTAGATGAAGGTCAGGAACGGATTGTCCCAGCCAGAAATATGCGCAGCCGCCCTAATTCTCTACAAGTATACCAAATGGTGCCAGGGTTTTGATTGTGACTCACTTGGTTCTCCTGCATACCTTGGCAAGGCTCGTAGAGAGTGGCTGAGGGGGACCTGTCTACCTGAAAATCAAGTAAATCGAGTCGACGGCAAGTGCGCTTTTGAATGACGCGCCAATGGGATGGCCATCCCCCCGCCCCCCTCCCAAAGGGCCCGCGCGTATGTATATGGCGGATAAGGATATTTGCCACCATGGGTATGGTCACCAAGCAAGATACGATCTCGCCACTTTCTTGGAAGTTGAGGGGCTCGAAAAAGAGCCACACAAACATATCCCCAGCTACATCTCTAGCATGGTGCGAAAGGATGTGTTTGATGTTGTGGTAGGGGGAAGGAACCCTATCTACATGTCTAGCATGTTGGCAAAGGAAGTCGTTGACAATATTGGTGGTTTCAGGCCTTGTCCCCGCATGGTTGCAATGCGAAACGTGGTTTCTCTTTGATGACCCTTGACACAACAAAAAACATCACCAACACCGGAAAACTCCCTGGATGCCTGGCCACTCCGAAATGCCAGGGTTTTAAAACAGGATACCCACAAAAGAGCCATTTCCTTGCGATGTCCACTGAAAACAACTTCAAAAAAGGGCTGCACTCCTGCTCTCCAAAAAATGTGAATCACGCACCCGAAAAGGAAAACAAAAAGGAAAAATGGCTGAGGATTCAGGCAACAAGCCACAAAATATCTAGGGCCTCTTCCTGCATCATCGGCACCGGCACTTCCACCTCCTGCACCACCTGCTGCTGCCGGGAGCCTCAGAAAAAGGTCGTGCACGAGAAGCCTTGGACAAGATTCAGGGCTCCAGGTGTCTTTTTGTTCGAAACATTGGATGACATTGGTATACGATTGGCCACCAACTAAAACCAGGGAACCCATCAAGTTCAACCAAAATGATCCAAACGGTTGAAACCTTTTCAGGGCCCTTCCTACGACGTCGTCGTTTGCGCCGCGGCTGAAGGGGGTCTACAGATGGGTCCGTCATTGAGACAGCCACCTATTTTTTTCCCCGGATGAGAAATAATGGGCGGTCCAGGTACGTGGGTTTGTCCAAATGGGGGACCTCATGCACTTTTGTAAATCCAAACTACCGAGGTTGGACAAATGGTTACAACCACACCAGGAAGTCACTAAAGGGGAAGCCGAAACAATAGGCGCAATACAAAGTTTGCCACAAAGGCATCCTCAAATAAAAACATACCCATATTTAGCAGGTCACTTTTCGGGAGGTGGGGGGGCGTGGAACATTGTGTTTTCTAAACAGGTTGTCTTTGAGGGTCCTTTGAGGGTGAATCAAAGAGAAACCAGAAGCGGGGGAGAAAAAAAAAGAAAAAAAACGACCATGTTGGTCTCCAATTCCGTTTTGTCAAGCCCCCGAAGAATAGCTTTGACCCTGGCCCCGTAAGCTTAACTTGTTGTATGTCCCACCAAATAGCACCACAAATGAGGACCTTTGAGCTTCCCTTTTTCCGAGGGTTGGCCTGGGGCGGTTTTGCGTTCACTGACGTGCTGATTTAACTCGCCAAACACGAGTTCAAACTTTTCGGCCATGACTAAAATGATCAAGAAACTAAAGCATCGCCAAAGGCATTTCCAAAAGCATATCCAGCGACATTTCCGCAAGCGCCCCCAACAAAAATGACACTCGCACAAACGCTCGCACGCGCATTCCAAGCAAGACACCTCAAAACGGTAACCCTGAAAAGCAAATCACAATGGCACGGCGACACAAACGCGCAACCTTGCAAAACACTGTGCCTACGCAGCGAAACGACACGCAACAATACAAGTCGCACATTCTGAGCCTTCCCCAACAGCACGGTCTTTGTTGCGGATGGTTGCGGACGGCTGCGAACTCTAAAAATAACGCGTGGCGAACCGCTATAAACGAGAACCCTTCGCTACGCATTCGGGAAAAAGCAAACGGTAAGTCCTCCCGTCGCTTCCCGCGCAAGCGAGGCACGGGTCTGGGTAAAGATCTTGGGCACGTGCACCACCTCCTCCTGCTGCATGGGCACCGGGACCTCCACCACCTGCTCCACCTGCTGGTGCTGCACCCGGTCCTGCATCATCACCTGCCGCTCTGCATCATCCGCCCCTAAAAAAGCCTGAGCTCTGCAAACTATGATAACAGAATGGCCGCCTCATGAACCAAACAGGTGCATCTGCAATCTCACATAGCGTGCCACCGTCTCACTCGCAAGAACTCCCTCGGGCGCGAAGAACCAGCCCAGAGAGTGCCCAAACCCCCTTGTGCCATGCACACTTAGACTTTGCAGACCACCAATACCCCAAACAAAAAGGTTGCACCCCAAGTACACATCCCCAACCCCAGGCGCTCGAGCGGTTTTTGTCATCTTCTGCGCTTGGCACGGTCGCATGACGGGGTCTTCTCGTCCTTGGGCAGTTGTGGGAGATGGGTAGGCAGGGTTCCGTTTCTCACTTGAGTGGATTGGGCAAACGTCCAAACTTTCGATTGCCACAGTGGTCTGCCCAAAAAGCTTCAAGTCCAGGAACTTAGGAAGTGAGATTTGTTGATTGCCCAGGCGTAGACTTATCCCAGAAGTTGTCACTGTCCGCAGAATGGGACTTTCTGGGTTTGAGTCTGTCTTGGGGCAATCCACAAATGAATCCAGGTAGGTAGGCCTCAAACTGTGGGAATCAGTTCAAACAATCTCTAAAGGGAAAGCAAACGGGAACCATTGTTTTTCTTTTGAGCCAGACGGCCTGGGCCTAAGTAAAACACGCAAACGGTCAATCACTCGTGCAATTGGCCGTACAGCCCATCGTCTCATCCCTGCACAGACCCAGGGAACCAAAGACCCTGTTGCCAGCTGTCGTGATTGGCAGGGCAATTGGGAGCAAGTTGCGTAGGACTCGTAGGTCGAATCGTAGCTGGAATACTCCGTCTCGTACTCGGTAGAGGTCTCCTCTTCCAACTTGCAGGATTTGCGCTTGCGATTGACCCAGTCGAACCTGGGCTCGGCACAGCGCCAACAGCTTGTTGGCAATGCTGGTTGATCGGTTGATCCTGGTCGCATTGGATTTCCGATCAGCTGGCAAAAGGACTTTGAGAATAGCTTGGCCACGCATTGTGACCAGGGCCTCACCTCCTTGAACATGTTGCAAGAACAATTGCTGTATCAGGAAGAGCAGTCTACCATTCTGCAGCGTCTGCTGACTCAAATCGTACGTCTACGTCGTACAACGTTGTCAGCATCATTCAGCTTCCCTCTACTTGGTGATTTGCATGTGTTCCGAGGGCACCAATTGGAGGTAACCTGAATCATCATACCACGCAAACACGCGCGCAAGCGTCGGAAGAAGCAAGTGGCTGTCCATCGAAGTCCAGCTGATGCCTTGCACCGGCTCTCCGCATCAAGCCCCGGAGGTGGTCGTAGTTGGGCTTCTCCTTTAGGTTCCAACTTGCACCATTCAGTACCCAGTACATCTAAGAGCCCTGGCTAAGAGACCTCGTTTTGGGCTCCCGTTCGATGGAGGGCTTGGTTTCTCTCTCATTCTGCGTGCTGAGCAAACTTCTCCTCGAAGCCCAAAGAGTCACAGTACTCCAGGTACTGAATGAATTCTTTGGGAAATCCCTTGCCTCGGCGATTCGTCGGCCGATAAGGCTGAGTTTCGGCGTGGTCACACAAAAGCGCAGCATTCGGCAAGTACGTTTCGGGAAAAATACACCTGCCTCAACTGGACCCGACGTATCGACCCCCTACAACAGGTGGACTTGTTGCCGGTTGAAAGGTAAGCTTTGTCTGGCAATGTCAAATGTTGCTTTTGTTTCAAGTTCAAACCCCAAATCACCAATCCAAATTACCAAGCAAGGGTTACCTGAAACGTGGTCTCAGGAGTCCACAAAGAAACAAGTCGTCGAACAAGAAACACATATTGCAACCATGGGCACGAACCAGAGCTGACCCAAGACCTACAGTTGCTTGAAAGTGCTGCCAAGAAAGCAGCCGTGACAATTGCCCTCCAGATCAAAAAAGCGTGAGTGAATCATAGATCGCAAATTAAAAGCGCAAATGGAAGTCCGGCCCATTCTCCAAATACCAAAAAACTGAGGTGCACAACTTCTCGTGGGGCGTCAGCATTTTCTTCTGCCCGATTTTCTGCTTCCTCTTCTTCCTGTCCGGGTGATTGATTCCTGGCCGCGAGTTTTCTTGTTCAACCGAGATCCGGGAGTCCTTCTCTCAAAGGTGCAAACAAAAAGGCTCCCACCACTATTATCATGAAATATGTATATACCTGCACATGCATTGTATGTATGTCTACATCCGCAGCGACTCAACACGGCTTGAGTAGCGTGTTTGCCAGTGGTCAAGCCGGGTCGAGCGGCACTCGTCAAGCAGAGCGAACAGCCCACCTCTTAGTGTTGACCCCTGATTAATGGCATCTCAAAAATAGGGGACTTGTTGCATGGCTTAGAGAAACCCCACGAGGAAACCAACCTTGAGGTGTCCCAATTTTGAGAAACACCCTAATAACCCCACCCCCCAGTTACAGCACACATCAGGGGGTTGGTCCTGGAACAAAGGCCTTGCAAAAACAAAAGGGAGTCCCTTTAACATCAAGTTCAACAGTATATGTGTGGATCAGATCCAACTTGTTTACTCCCCTCCTTAGGAAGCTTTTATATAGTTGGACTCGTTTCTTCATGGTGCCTGCTCGTTTTGAGTGTAATTTCCCTGGTCAAGTTGGCTTGAGGGGAAACCAAAGGGAACCTCGATTTTGGGGTAGCCCCATTTTTGACACATACCCTGTAGAAACCCTCTTTCAGGATGTGTACTTTGATAATACAAATAAAAATACAAAAGCAAAAACGCTCTGATTGCGACCAGCCCCCCCTGGTCGGAGATCTCGGGCCTTGCCACGGCAGCCGGCCGACCAGGAAGTACATCCTGAACTTCCCCATTGCTAGAACCCTTCCCCGAAATGGGCAAAGTTGGCGGAGCCCACTCGAGGGAAAGAAGGGCCACGGCAAACGGACTGCCCACCAAGTGGAACTAAGACCACAGTACCCATGCCCCCCCCCGAATCAAAATGTCAGAAACACAAAAAAAAAAACAGAGGAAACAAATGTACCACCCAAAAGAAGGGAAAAGAGAACAACAAGGGCCCAACGAACCAGAATCGCTTTGGATACTTTAACACCAAACTGATGATATGACACCAAAATATTTGCATAAATTTACTCCCGTCGCTTCAACAAGAATTCCCGCCCTCTTGTTGTGGGCATCCGCCCCACGTCGATTCGCAGGGGAGTATGTCGGGGTCCAGCAAAACTATACATCTGGGCCAGTCTAAAGAAAGTGAGAGAAACAGACAGCGTTTTACCAGCTGAAAATCATGAAGATCCTCTTGTACAGCAGGCGTTCGGATGTATCCGCAAAAGGAACCGCCCGTTCGCTCTTCAACGGGAGCTTTCTCCAGGCGTCAGCACGTAGCCGATGGAGCCCAAGTCATCCCGACGGCTGGGCTCGAAGCCCCGGTGGAGGTTCACCTCGATTCCACGTTGAGGGAAACAAAGTGGACCCCCTTACTAACCCTTACTCACTCCCTTACTAACTAACCTGCTAACCAAGAAGGGCTATGAGAGGGGGGCTATCCCTTAACCCCTGAAGGCTGGGCCTGTCCGGGGATAGCCCCCTCCAGAGCCACGTTTGGGGGTTCCATGAGATCGGTAGCACAAAGATTGCTTGATGGTTTCATGATTTTGTTTACTTTTAAGCTTCCACGTGTTCACATTTGTCTGCTTCCTCTTTGATTTGTGGTCAGCCCGGTTTGGAGGTTTTCCGCCGGGCGGTTTCTCGTTTACTGTCGAACACAACCGGGGCTCAAACGCCTAAGCAGAGCAGTTTTTAAGCAAAGCCAAAAGGAAAAGCACCCCAACATTGTGGAAGGACAACATAATCACATCCAGGGCCCAGGTATATCCCAGTGTTTACGGGGTTTCATCCATCCCAACTATTGCAGGATTCTGTCCATCTACAGTGCATCATAGGGTCTACAAATGTTACAATCTGAAATAAGGCATCCCCTAGTAAAAGACCAACATCATGGCTCGTTTTGCCCCCGAGCGGTAAGCTCGTCAAATGGCAAATAGGATTACTGCAAGGGCTTCAATATTTCCGATGGGATTGTGAGGTACTTTGAATCCAAATTTACTCATAGTCATAAGACAATGAGAGCTCGTATTGCCCCCAGGTGAGCTCGTGACTTTTTGTCGTCAAAGGGGAAGGGTTCTGCAAAATGTCAAAGCAACCCTGGGGAAAATCCTTCAGATGGAAAGCAAAGGGAGGTTTTAAGAAGCCTGATTGAAACATATGTAAAAATGGCGTTGGCCCAGCCCGTCAAAATCCAGTTCTATGCCACAAATGCGGCAGGATGGTCATTGGCTGTCAAAGGGTGTATCCAGCAGCACAAGGAGTTATAAGGAACTCGATCACTTCCGGGAAAAAAAATACACAATATTTCCTCCTGGGCCCAGTCATACGGGAAGGCTGAAATGATGGCCAATCATTGGTTGCTGAGTGGGCCCTGTCTAATGATTGGGGGGTTGCATCCACTAATTCGCAAGCCAGGTTATGGCAGGGTCTCTTTCTGCCTCCTTCTGGGAACACAAAGGGCCCCCACCTGTGATAGTGCACGAACCCCAAAATGTCACTGGTTTGATACACTTAAGCACGCTCACAATCACAAACATGTGTCCCATTTGATTTGAGCTTTTCGAGGGAAGCACGCGCCCTCAGTCCTCCTCCAAAATCGAGCAGCCGTGGTGTATCTCGCAGTTCCCGTCATGCCGCTCTTCTGCGCAAAGGCAATGTGCTTGCCTTTCCGGTCCTGACCAGGAACGAGCACCTGTTTCAGGGCTTTCTGCAACCACCGATGCGTAAACTATATTTGATCCCAACCTAATACCAACCCAAGAACTACCCAAAAGGAAGCCTAAACAAACTCATACCGTATACCAATCCAAATCTCACTCTGTCAGAAGGTGCGGCACATCCTGTTTCCCGACTCGCGTGTGATGCTATTAACTAGATCTCCATCACTTGGTTTTTCAGTAATTTCCCGACACGCCTCTGGTCGCTCCCTGACTCACACTTCCTGAGATTTTTCCCCGTGACTTGGTCTAGTCTCCCTCAGCACTTCCATGTTTGGATATTTGGACAACAGCAGCGGTAGCAGCAGCGAAGGGAAACCAACTAACCCCCTAAGCAGGGCTCCCAAAACCCCGGCACTTGTTGGCCCGAAAGGAAGCCAAAGAAAGTCGCGTTCACCATGGTTCCACACAAACGGAATTTAACAATCCTTGTATATTAGTATTAAAAAGAAACGAATGTTCTCATACTTCAAACCAGACTTCTCACCCCAATTTCTTTTACACGTCAAGAGTTGTCCAATGAAAAGTCCTGGTAGCGCTTGGCCAGGCCGAAATCCACGACGTAGATCTTGTCCTGCTGGCCCTTGCTGCCCACCACGAAGTTGCTGGGCTTGATGTCCCGATGGATGATCCCGTGAGAATGGACGAACTCCATGCAGTCCTTGGGACCAAATTTGGGCCAGCTTGAAACATCACCCTTCCCTGATGTGGAGAACCCCTTGCTCTTGATAGCACCTGGATTTCGGATGCCTCTGCCGTCCTCGGAACTTCACTTTGCATATCAATTCGCACAGCTGTTCTCCATATGCAGAACCCAAGATCGGTGCAGATCTTGGCCTTAGTCCTTCTTTGATTTGTCACTTTGGAAAACTTGAAGCTGAGAGGCTGAAAAAAAAAGAGCATATCCGAGGTTTGACAAGTAGCTGATGAAAAGAGCCAAGAAGCTGAAAAGAAGCTGAAATAAAATAAGACGGGGTACCAGTACCTCTCTGAATTACCAGATCCGTGGGTCAGGGAAGTTTTAATTCATCTGGCGTCATCCTTGTCAGGTGTTCCAACTTGAAAACCAACCGGGAAAGTGCAGCATACGAGGACCCCAAATAAAACTAGTGGAGTTTCGGTCAGTTTCCCTTTAGAACCAACCTGAAAAGGGTGCCCTTGAGAAAAAAGCACACCCCGGATCAGACTCAGGTCCTGGCCTGCAATCCTTGAAGGTCGAAGGGTATGCCCAAAACGCCCAGCTGGGTTTGGACCCCGCCAGATTGTTTTCAAGGGCCCTACCGGTTTGAGCCGGCAGTCGATCATCTGCTCAGCGATCATGAGGACAGACTTCAAGCTGAATCTCCTGTGGCACTTCTTCATGAAAATATCCTCCAGCGACGGGCCAAGCAAGTCCATCGCCATAATGTTGTACTCACCTGCAAGTCCCCTTCCCCATTCCCAGATGATGTTGAGACCCTGATTGTCGACAATCAGTCGGTGGACAATCCCTTGACAGAAAGTCTCAGAAAGGAAATCAACCACAAAAAGACGGTGCACGGAAGAAAGGAATTCAAACACAAAAGAGGGTGTACCGGGGATGCCCTATCTTTTGCAAGTAAACAAACTACACTCAACCACAAAATGACGGGCAACTACGACAAATTGGAGTGTGTTCTTGTTCCCTTCACTTGCAATACTTAGGTATCAACCGTACCCCCAAATCCGGACTGAAGGGTTTATCTGAAGCTCCAATGTGCTCTTGTCAAAAGGTCCAATCCGCCTAGTGTTCCAAACCCAGCTCAATCAAAGACTCGAACACAAAACCGGAGGAACCGAAAATAAGGAGCTAACTGGTTGCCATGAGCAAACATAGTTGAAAAAACTGAAGACATCTGAAGACCACCTGCGGTCGATTTGCTTCCCGCCCCAGCATGGAAGCTCAGTTGACGTCAAGGGGACTTTTCATATGCCGGGCAAGGGGCCATCGCGAGCTTGATACTTCTATCTTCACCTCAAGGGCTTGGGTCCCTTCATTTGTCCCCATGTGTTCGGTGGGGGGTAACCGCTGGAACTCTCATTCGGGTATGTCTTCTTAAAATGGGTTTCCCTTCCAAATCACCCCAAAAAACGGTGCTGTACCCTAAAACATCCACACCAACTTAGGGTCGTAAACCACTTCATGCGGAAGGGGTTCCACAAGAAGCCCGCTGGTGTGGGCATTTCTGGTTCCACGTCCAAATGTGGCCTGACATGGAATCCCCCCCATTTCCAAGCAGTTTCACTTTTCGGCTCCCCTCTTAAACCTTCCAAGGCTCGAAAATACGGCAACAAGCAATCGTTCCGCCTAAGGGCCAGCGGCCGCAATACAAAGAAGGCAAAAAAGCGACCCATCCCGGCGGCCTTTGATGCCCGACCACAGCACAGTGGGCGTGTAGGGGCTGCTAGTGCCAAAGGTCTCACACAGCTCGGCCTCTTTCAGGAGCTTGTCGGTCTTTTCCTGTGGTTTTGAGACTGACTCAAATTTATTTTCAGCTTGGCAAGGGAAACCAAAAGAAACCCGAAGCCCTTTTTTTTGGTACCCCGCATTGACACTCACATACCTTGCTGAGTCCAGCCCCAGATCCTCCAGAGAACCTGCCTGGAACCTTCCCAGAAACAGGCTCAGGATTAGAATCAAAGGCTGCGGCGGTGTGCATTGAGACTGCCCAAAAGAGCGGCCCCAATTCACAGTTAGAATTGTCCCCTACAAATATTCTTGCCAGCTGTTCATTTTGGCTCAAAAGTGGCTGTCAAAATCAGGGCCAAAACTGTTTGCTCGGTGTGCCGCCCCTTTCCAGCGGCCCGGGGTCCACTAGTTTGACCCCTCATGTGAGCCACCGGACAATCTTCGACATGTTCCCCGTGGAAGAAAATTTGCCCAGTGATGCTTTGGGCTAGTCGATTCAAGTGAAACCAAAACCCAAAATGTGAACAAAAGGGCCTGGGACATAGTCTTTGCAAATGGAAAGGCCTTTTCTAGGAAGGCTTGGGAGTTGGACTGGTTCACAACCTTCGGCACCAGGATAAACCTGGGTTGCTCTGTAGGTTTTGTGGAACAACGGGTTTCAGGGGCTAGGTCACACCAGAGACCAGCCATATCAACCATCACTTAACAACTCCTCCTAGACCTGAGGGGCAGGAATCGTGTTTGTTTGACTTGGCTGTGGCTCAAAAACGTGTACCAAAAAGGCACTCTTGGCAAATGGAACCAAAGACTAAAACCTGCGTAACCCTGGATCTTTAATTTTGAGCCACACCCATTTGTCGCAAAGATGTTGGTCTGAGGCGCAGCTTTCTGCCACTCGAACTTCACCGCCACCAGCTGCTTAGTGGTCCTGAAGGACAAAATCGGTTGGTCGGAGGGTGACTGGGTCCCTGGAAGTGTTTGCATTTCGAGAGCTCAAATCTGAAACCGGTGAAGCATCCATTCGGGATTTGCAGCCCCTCTTGCTTGGTGTCAAAAGAGAAGCCAAGCGGAACAAACAGACACGCGGACACACGGACACACGGACACACAGACACACAGACACACAGACACACAAACACACAAACACACAGACACACAGACACACAGACACACAGACACACAGACACACACACACACACACACACACACACACACACACACACACACACACACACACACACACACACACACACACACACACACACACAGACACACACACACAGACACACAGACACACAGACACACACACACAGACACACATACACACATACACACATACACACATACACACATACACACATACATATATATATATATATATTATATACATACATACATATATATATATATATACACGCACACACCTTGGGTGCGTCTTGCTTTGGGGGGAAACCCTTTTGGTCGGCTTCAATGAGAAAGCAAAAGGGATACCGACACCAAAGCATCCCTCCGGCGTGCTGAGCGATCGAGGCACTGGTCGAAGGCGAGGCGTACCACGCTGTAAGACCCGCTGCCCAACTTCCGAAGAATCTGGAAGCGGCGCCCCACCAAGCGCGGCGCCTGAAGGCGAAAGGTTTTGATATGGATGGGGAGGAGGGTGGAGGAGGGGAAGCGGGGAGAGGGTCCGGCTCAGAGCTCGCTTTTCCCCCAGGCGCATGTTGCATCAAGAGTTGCCCAAACTAAAGCTTTGGGATGTGGGGAGGAGGGGTGGGTTCGGCGGAGACTTAGGGTGTTTTGCAACCGCCTTCTTGGGGGGAGGGGATTGGAGTTGACTCCGTCCATGGCAGGGGGAGGATATGGTCTCGCTCAAGATGAAAGGATAAGGACCCCGCCTTTTGGCCGGTTGCCCAAGGAAAAAGCTATTCGGACAGACTCAAATGGCGTTCAAATGGCGTGCAATTAAGCGCCGCCGGGCTTTAACGTGGGGGAAATGTGAGAAACGCGGATGGTTCAACTCAGAGCCCAAACGAACACCTGCACCTCTGCCATATTTGCACCCCCCACCAAGACCAATGCCAGAGACCAGACCAAAGGACAAAGCACCGTCGCCGATCACCCATCGCCACGACCAGGCGACCTGTTGCCAAGCAATTGCAGCCAAGGATGAATAAACCCCCTGGTTGATTTTGATCAGGGTGTCCCGGCCTGGGGAAGATGCTTCTCTTTTAGGAAACTAACAGAGAGCCGACCATTGCTTCGATGAAAACACCCTGGGCTAACCGAGGTGCTGGGGGGCGGCCATCGGAAGCCTCGGACTCGTCCAGCACCTCCAGCGGGTACCCGCTGCGGGCCCGGCCCATAGCGCGGCACTTTAGCCGCTGCTTCACGGGCAGGCTGCGGCCACGGGAAAATCTGCGCGAGAATTCTTCAGCACCCAAATGGAGGCTAAGGTTTTCTTTTCGCTGGGTGCGCCCTTCGGGACAGCAGTCAACTCCTGGCAAAAGATGCTTTCGGCATAACCACTTTGTGTTCCCGAGGCAGTCCCCCCCAACCCCAAGCCCAAGGGTCCACCCAGGTCCCACGAGCTCGAGGAATTGCGGGGAAGGCGACTTTGCTGCCTCGCTGAGCCGAAAAGCGATGGCGAGAGTCGGCGTGAGGTCGGAGTCGCTTTCCAGCGGGACCCCCGAAGGGTTCTACACGTTTTGGGCTTCCCTTCATAAGAAAAAGAGCTCAAGACAAACCCTGTACTTCAGACAAAGGGTCCAACAGCTTCCAAAAATCTGCCACTGGCGGACGATGGAATCCTAGGCAAATCACTCACGCATGTTAGCTTTCAAGCAAAAGTGACTGCGCGTGCTTGGATGAACGACCCAGGATCAACCTAAAAGCAGATCCGCCGTTGCCCGATGCAGATTAGACGGTAGCTCCCTCGCTGGATCGTCGCATTCGAAGCCGTGCCTTGGGCACATGCACCACCTGCTCCTGCGTCATGGGCACCGGAACCTCGACCTGGTGCTCAACGTGCTGGTGGTGGGTGCCTCGGAGTACTCGAAAAGGAAAAGGGGAAACTGGGAAGCCAAAAGGAAAAAGAGGGGGACTTCCGGACTTCCTGACTGAGTTTCTTCATAAATCACGCAGAGGGACCCTTTCTGAAAGGTCAACTGAAACCTGTGCTGAAGGAAGCCCAAAGGGAAACACACAAAAAGCCCCAGTTTTGAGACAATCTCCTGTGTCTTTGTGCAAACCTGCAACCCTTTCTGGGTCCGGAATCTGAGGGAAGCCAAAAGCAGGAAACCTCCGGGAAGCGCCTGTGTGCTTCGTAGTGGCTCGAGGAAAAAAAACGGTCCTTGGGGTTACTTAGATCAAGTCAAATCAGGAACACACCCCTGGCAAAACAAGTTCCGATCATCCGGACACGAATTCGCGAGCCCGAGCATGGGGTCGCCCAAAAAGGAGATCTCCAAAAATGATGGTTTTGCGCGGACGAACAAGAAGGTGCCTTCAAAACAAGATGGTTTTTGGACTCCATCTTTGTCTGCCGGGGCAGAAAAAAGAAGAAGCGATCCGGAGCTGTTCGCCCAGACACGCGTGTGAGTCATGGTCACCGGCACATGGACAACCTCCTCCACAAACTCCGGAACTGGCACATCCACCTGGGTGCAAATCGCGATGAGGGACCATTTGGACATAAAATTACAGATTACAAAGCTGTATGTGATGGTACCCTTTTCAGATTAACCCTTAAAGAGAAACCAAAAGGAAAGCCAACATTTTCGGAGTTCCTTACGTTTCCCTTAAGACCAGATCACTTACAGGGTCCCCAAAGAGCTGGCAAAATTCCGGCCTCCTTCCTTGGCGAAGCAGCGTACCCCCTCCCCCCCCCCGGCAAACCCCCACCCGAATCCACTCACCGAGCTCAAAAAAAGACGGAGTGTGCTTGCGGATAGTGGTTTAAGCTTGGTGGAAACTTTTGGAGGGACTGTCAGTTGTCGTTCCCCTTGGCGAGGATTCCTTACATTGCGCAATTAAGAAACAGGTGGAACCCTGCAATTTGCTTGCCCTTTGTTTACTTGCAAATTTGAGGAAATAAAGCCTTTGAAGGGACGTATCACACTCAAATCCATCAGAATAAGTGCCAGTGTTTCAGCCTTAGCCCATCCTTTCTGGGCCAAATTACCCAAGAAAAACACAAACCGGAAGTAAGAAAAGGCCCTGCAAGAAGGGATAAGCTCATTTGCCCCCAGGGTGAGCTCGTTTTGATTTGTTCAAATATCATGCCTTCACTGGGTTGCTCTTCCCAGCAAAAGGTCTAACCTTTTGTAGGTCTGAAGGAAAAGAACAGTTGTTTCCAAAAGGTCTGCGGGACTCATCAATGCTGCAAAGGGGCGAACTGCTCAACGTGGCGCTGCTGAGTGCGCTTCTGCTGGTGGATCTGTGGCACCTCAAGCGCGAAGCCAAAAGAAGAAACCCAGATACACTTGACCCCTGGTGTCACTTGCGTGTTTGTGTGTGTGTGTGTGTGTCTGTGTGTGTCTCTGTCTGTCTCCGTCTGTCTCCGTCTCTGTCTGTCTCTGTCCCTGCCCCTGCCCCTGTCCCTGTCCCTGTCCCTGTCCCTGTCCCTGTCCCTGTCCCTGTCCCTGTCCCTGTCCCTGTCTGTGTCAGTCTTTGTCTGTGTCTGTTTGTCTGTATGTGTCTGTGCGTGTTCGTGTCTGCGTGTTCTGTGTGTGTGTGTGTGTGTCTGCGTGTGTCCGTGTGTGCGTGTGTGTCTGCGTGTGTCTGTGTGTGTGTGTGCGTGTTTGTGTGTGTGAGCGTATGCGTGCGTGTCTGCAAACCTGCGTGTCTGCAAGCCTGCGTGTCTGTAAGTTCGCTTGTCTGCAAGCCAGCGTGTCTGTGTGTCTGCGTGTCTGTGTGTGTGTCTGTGTGTGTGTGTGTGTCTGTGTATCTGCTTGTCTGTGCGTCTGTGTGTGTGTGGGTGTCTGTGTGTCCGTGTGATCCGTGTGTCCGTGTGTCCGTGTGTCCGTGTGTCCGTGTGCCTGTGTGCCTGCGTGTCTGTGTGTCTGTGTGTCCGTGTGTGTGTGTGTGTCTGCGTGTCTGCGTCTCTGTGTGTCTGTGTGTCTGTGTGTGTCTGTGTGTCTGCGTGTCTGCGTGTCTGTGTGTCTGTGTGTCTGTGTCTGCGTGTCTGTTTGTCGGTGTGTCCGTGTGTCCGTGTGTCTGTGTGTGTGTGTGTGTCTATGTGTCAGTGTGTCAGTGTGTCAGTGTGTCCGTGTATCTGTGTGTATTTTGATTATTTCACCTCAAGATCCCTCAAAATGCACACTCCCCCAAGTTTGTTTCTTTCCTCCCCAAAGACCCAAGTCCTCAGAAGCCCTGCAAAACCAGTTCTTGCTTCTTGCCGAAATGCTCTTCAGCCCCTTCAAGACTCCAGTTTCCCCGCCCACCAACTCCTCACAAAAAAGACAGGTCCAAGGGGCATGGACCACCTGCTCCACGATCTGCTCCACGTGCTGCTCCATGATCTGGGGCACCTGGGTTCTGACAGTCGGAGGCAATAGGGGTATGTGGGGCCCAAAAGATTGGTGTTCCTTGTGTTCCCCCCTTAAAGCCACCCAAAAAAGATACCAAGTCAAAAAAAACAACACGCACACACACACACACCTGCCCTGGGCGTCTCGAAAGAAGACGACCCGCCACCCACGGACATGTTGTTGTCGGTTTTCCCCTCAAAGGGGAGTTGTGTTGTGTTTGTTAAAAGCGAAACAAAGGGAAGTATACAACCAATACAAGCTTGTACGGCAGGGTATGTCCCTTGAACCCTTGCTGGAAAATTATGTGAATTTTCTTGCTTGGAGAGGGGAGGACAACCAATATAGTCCCTTTGAACTGGGAGAGTTGGTTGTTCGAGGCACATACATACTCTTGAACGAAACACAAATATTGCATGTTGCCGACAATTCGACGTGGAGCCCCATGTCGATGGTGTCGAAGAGCAACCAAACGACAACAATGCTGTTTTAGGGGTCCCCCATTTAGGAAAACATCGGGAGATCTTGCCCAGGCGAATTAAACTGTAAATTAGGCGAATTCGTTGGCACGCGGGGGAAGTGATCGACAGCCAAAGCTACCCAACAGGGCACCAGACATGCGTTCATGTGGCGTGGGTGTGCAGCTTCAGGACCCACCTTTTGCTTGGTGATGGATTGTATCTGCATATTACAATCATTCCAAAATGGATGTCTTTTTATTGAGGTACCCTTTTTGGGCTTGTTTTAATGGAAGCCCAAAAGAACCTTGTCCTTTGATGCAAGCGATGAGAACCCATTCAGAGTCGCTCTACGCGTCCGCGCGCCAGGCCTCGACCACGCGGTTCACATACTGCACCTGCCCGCGGACTGTCAAACCCCTGCCCCCCACGTGCCCCCCCCCCCCCCCCCCCGCCCAACCGTGGCCAGTTTCTAGTGTCCACTTAAAGGTATTGCAATCCCTCTGGATTGAGGATTGACTAGAGGTGGGTCTCCTTTTGGCGGGCAAAATGTCCATCTTGGGGGGCATGATCTTCCCCATGGGCATCAGGGGCTTTTCATAAATTGGCCGCATGTATGAACCCGGGGTTCACATACTGATCTCCTTTACTGCATGTCATGAATTGACCTCTGAGGGGTGACGGGCAGGTGAACGGGTGGCAAGGTCAGGAACATGTGAATGTGTCTGAACAACTGGACTTTGGCCTCTTGACGAAGATCTGATTCGGCTGGCCAGGGCTATTGCGAGGATTTATTGTAAGATCTTGTCAGGTGTGCGAACAGTGTCTTGATCATGGCTCAGATGCGCCACGAAACCCGGGCAGTGAAAGCATAGAATTGATACACGGACGGCTGCTCAAATCCTTGGCAACTCATGCAGCTTTCCTTCAAGACGCATCTTCCAAAAGTTCCAAAGCATTTATATAGTGTTGACACGCGAGCAACGGACAATATGACCTCCAAACGAATCCTTTGGGCAGCCGACTTTGGTGTTCTCCGACGGACTACGGCTGCCCTCCCACCATGCAACCTTCAACCTCCTAGCATCCTAGAAGACGAGTTTCCTCTCCAAGAAACCTTCTCGTGGGTACGGAGGGTCCATAGCCTTGACACGGAACCAGTGATTTGAGTTCGATCGCCCGATCGCCCCGCGCCTCGGGCACCTCCTGCTCCTCCACGATCTCTTGCACGGTGGGGATTTCCATGATCTGCCGACATGCTAACGGGTGAAACGTGGTTGTCCTTTTGGTGCTCCTGTAAAAGGACTGTTTGGCAAAGATGATATATGGGCATTACGTTTTTTGTTGGGGATCCTGTGGACAACATTTACATGGGGATTGATGTCCGACTCTCAAATGTGGGTGCTTCCCTACAGAAAATGCGGAGTCTTTACAAGAACAAGCAACCCCAGTTTCCTGTGGTGTACCATCCCAAAAAAGGAAATCAATATGTTCAGACGCATTCATGGTAACCCGTTCCACTGTTGGCAAAGCGTGCGTTTCTGTGTTTCTGTGTTTCTGCATTAAGAGGAAGATCGTGCATTTGTGAAAAGGGCTAGCACTCTGGCAAAAGGCAGCTTGATGTGAGCCACAGTCAACATTAATTGTGACCCCCCGCACATAGAGGTTGTCCTGTCGGTTCCCTTTACGCCGACCTGGCCTCAAGCGGCGCGCCTGTGGGTAGAAAGTGCTAAAGGCGGCTAACGCCTTTTCCTTCCATCTACTGTCTGCGTCAGCGCATATGACTCAAGGCCTGCAAGAGGCGACATGCCAAACCCATAACGGTGGTTTACATGCTTTCAGCCCCCAAAACTGAAGTGGGTTTGGCCGTCGTCTTGCGGCGGTGAAGTCCTTGCCGGCCTTGTGCCAGGACTTCCTCTTCTTTCTCGAGGCGCCACGTGTTAGTGGCCAAAAGCCTCATCATGGGCTCTTCGTGTGCCCCGCTGACCTTTGTCAGCATATCTGCCGGGTTCTCGTTATGAGGAACCCATCTAATGCGGCCTCTCACTTTGCTGAGCGACTCCTTGATGAGCGCGACCTCCAAGGCAGCTCGATCATCTTCTCCTTGCGCTTGCTCATTCTTGACCGAGTCAAAGACTGACTTGGCATCAATGACCGCGATCATGGCGGGGTCCTGAAATGTAGGATTCTCCGAGGCGATCACCGATGCTTCGCCTTGCAATCCTCCGTCGTCCTCGATCTCCAAACGGTGCCTTGGGCTGTACCGGGAGAACCTTAGCGACTCCAGCATTGCCACCTGCTTCTCCATGGATCCAAGCGCGGTGGACATGCTGATGGCCTCGCACAGGTTCGTAGATCCGGCTTTTCGGCGAAGCTTCCGGGATCTCCAAGTGATCAGAGACACCGGAGCGGTCTTGCCGAGGTTGAGCTGGTCTGTGGTGGTGGCTTGCAGCCACCCATGCTGTGGCTTTGACTTGCCACTTGGGTCGAAGGAGCTGTCGGCGATCAGCAAGTGCCGCAATTCCTCCTCCGGGAAGCTGTGGATCTTGAGCTGGATGTGGTGGCCCTTGATCTTGGCCACGACGCGGTTGGCCTCCATGGCATCGGCGACCGAAGGCGTCGGAAAACATCCCGCCAAAATGCTGGCTGCTGCTGAGGCGTCAGGGCGTCCCTCACGAGCAACCCAGTTGATGCTGGCCAGAGTCCCTCTGAGCTGAGAGATCTCTTCTGCGGATAGCGTCTTATCCTTGGCCTGGCACTTCAAGGTCTTGGCCTCAAGACGGACGGGTTTCAAGCGGCTCTGGATGTAGTCCTGCATCGTGATGCTGAAGGAAAAATCCGCCTCTTGCCAAACTCGCCGTCCGGCAAACCCAGTGCCAGCTGCATCACTCTGCAACTCCACGGCTTTCCCGAACTTGAGCATTGACTCCAGGGCACTCATCCTGCGCTGATGTTCTTTGTTGCCTGCCTCGAGCACGTCGTCCACTTCGATGACGATCATCCCCTGCGTGGCTGCGTTAGTCTCCCGGCTCTCTGAGTCCAGGGTCAGCACACAGCGATCAAAGCAGTTGATGCGGTATCCGAGCTGCTTGACCAGGATCTCCAGGAAACTGCGTCTCCACCAGGCTGGCCCACTGACAAGCCCGTACACTTCCGTGTTGAGCATGATCAGCTGGTCCTCGCGGTAGCCCTCAAAGGCTTCGTCTCGTGGCATTCTGCATGCCAGCTTCCGCGACCGGGTGGTCGGCTTGCTCTGCAAGAATGCAGTTTTCGCGTCCTTCACTCTGGCAGGCCATTTTCTGCAGGCTGCCAGCTGAAAGAACAGGTGCATGCTCGAGGTCAGAGGTGTCGGAGCGGCGCGCTCGATGTGGTGGATCATTGGATCTTGCCACCCCACCACACACCATCGGGACTTCGCTGACAGGCCCTCGTGCTTGGCTGGCTCGAAGCCTTCCATGTCGAACTCCTCCGGCAGCACCGCAAACTTACCAGATGGTTTCCATCGGTCCACGTAGCGAGAGTCCAAGATGCCCTCGGGGTAGTCCCTGCGGAAGTCGCGGGACTCGTCCGGAGAGAGGATGGTGATGGCGCCGGTCTCTAAAAGAGAATTCACCTCTTTGGCTCTAGCCGCTCGAAAGATCTTCAGGTGTTCTTCCGAGAGCTTGTTGAAGACTACCTGTCCAGGCGAAGTCTTCGCTTTAGTCAAGTATATGCAGCGGTCCTTGTAGCTGTACGAGCCCTCCGCCTCGTTCAGGGTGAAGCACTTGTCATCGAGTGGCGCGATGCCGCTTCGTTGAGTCCGGCGATCGGTCCACCAGGCTGCTCCATCTCCGTCACCGCTCCATTTGGTGAACTTGGGCTTCGGCTCGTCGAAGGACACTGCTTCCATGAAGAACGATCGTGACGTGGGTGATGGCCAGGGAATAGGTGATGCCGAAGAGAACGGGTATGGCATCGGTCTCGATGCCGAATCCTGCGCCCTCACCGGTCCAAATTCTATTCGGTTTTCACGACCTTCATCCACTCGGACAGATGTCCGTCGGCTCTCGTTTGCCGTGTTGACGTCTGTGGACTCGGGTGCCACAGATGGTGCTCTAGTGCTGTTGTCGCCTAGGCTGGTGGGATCCTCCTCCATGGTGATGTCTCCAGCCTCAGGTCGATTAGCTCCAGTGAGGACACCATCCAAGTGCTCGGGCGTGTACTCGTCATCGTCGATCTCCATGTCTCGATTGGCAACTCCAGGTTGTGGTGCTTGAGGTTCTGGCGTTGGTGGTTGTTCGGCAGAAACTTCTTGCTTACCATCCTCATCCAAAGCTCCCAGGTCCGAGATGGTAACCTGCCACTGTTCTTCCTCCCCAGGGCCACCCTCCGACTCGATGTCGTGATAGTGCCTGATCTTGCCCTGGTGGATGTCGTCAACCATTTCCTTGGAGAGCTCCCGGATGAGTTCGGTTCCAAGATGTTCTTCTGAAGTAGCATTGCGAACTTGTTCTCGAGAAGCTTTGATGAGGTGGTTCCGGAGGCTGATCCACAAGGACTTGCCGTTGGCGTTCTCGGCGATGATGACTCCAGGGCCACTCCATCCCTTGTACTTCTCGGTGTCCCGCCACACGTAGACCCAGTCTCCCACCTCCAAGGGCTTCTGGTCCGCATTTCGGGTCTTCTTCCTCACGGAGTTCCTGATCATCTCGGAGTCCCGCTGCTTCATCCATGCTGCGGCAGCGGCATCTCTGATTTGCCAGGCTCTCTTCATCGACTCCGTGGCACTCTCCTGCACCAGCATCGGATTCAAGACATCGTCCGAGGCCAGGCTAGCAGGCAACCTGGGAGTGTATCCGAACACTCGTTGGAACGGCGAAAACCCGCTCTTGTTCATGTAGCGGTTGCGTGCGATCTGCGTTTCCCACACGCACTGGCTGAACTCCGCCTCCGTGGTAGCCACGATTTCTTCCAGCAGGAGGCTGAGCTTTTCCTTGAAGATGCCTCCAGCCCGTTCCGTCTTGCCGTTCTGCCAAGGGCTCCGAGCGTCGATGGCGTGCACCATGACGCCCATGTCATGTAGTCGCCCTTGGAACTCCTGGCCGGTGTACTCCGTCCCCTGATCGATGATCACGATGGTCGGGTGGCCGTAGTGAACCAACCAGATCTTCGCGAAGCTCTGGAAGGTCTGAAAGGCGGTCTTCTGGGGGATCTCCTCCACAATCTGCAGCCCTGTGGCCCAGCAGACGCAATTCAGGAAGATCTTCTCCTGCTCGTGGAACTTGTAGAAGAAGGTATCCACGCCGACCACTTCGTTGAACGGAAGGTTCCGTGCCAGGTATCCAGGTCGAGGGGCTGTAGGCTTCCGGCGACCCTCGCATAGTGGGCAGTTGAAGAACTTCTTGGTCCATTCGATGACCTCGCTCTTGGCGTTGGCGTGATTCAATGCCCGCACAAAGGTCTGGTTGTCAGGATGGCCGAGGTTCCGGTGCAGCCGATATAGTTCCCGACGTAGGTCAGGCGCCAGAGACCATTGTCCATCTTCGTGGTTCCGCAGAGAGTCAATCTGCTTTGCTGCTCGCTGCAGGGATGGGGTCTCTCCGACTGGCTGTAGTTGTTGAGCTGCATTTCTCATCGCAGGGTCCTTCTCTTCATCGTCTAGAGCTGGTCGAGCCGTTCGGGATCGAAGCGGGCGACCTTCACGTCGTTCTGTGTCACGCTCTTCCGCTTCGAGTTGGCCTTCCAACTCCTCCTCCACTGGCTCCAAAGGCGCTGATGATTTTGACGTAGAAGGCACAGATGCCGTAGACGGCGCAGAAACAGGTCTAGACGATTGCCTGCCTCCCAAAATTCTGTGCGATGGAAAGTGCTGGTAATGGCAAAACTTGAGGTACTCCTCGGCGAAGCTGGTTTCTTGGTGGATGTAGTTGGCCATAGGTTGCGCCATGGTGTTGCTGATCTCGTCTGCAAGTGCTTGTAGGTGGTCCGGCAAGGCTGAGCCAAGCCGATTTGAGGTAGTGGTTGTAGTGAACGAGGGCGGTTCTTCGCAGTTGTGGTAATGGATGTTAAGTGCTCGGAGGTGTCGGTTCAGGCCGTCCACGATGGCCGTCACCAGTTGAGGTGTGTATAGTGCTGCTGCTGCTGCTCGACCACCAATCAAAGGTTGATGCTTCTGGTGCTTCTCAACACCAGGGCATTTCTTGCTGAGGGTCTTCACCAAGGGCCACACGTTGGTAACCATGATTGTGGGCTTCTTGGCAGGGATGCCC